TAACACACGCGGGATTACGGAGAAGGGAGAGGTCGGAGCAGTTCCATGCTAAATAACAAGTGGTGAAGTCACATGGTGCTGGGAGCTCAGCTACCGCTTATAAGTAGCCCCAGCATCTGTTAAAGGCACAGAGCAGAGTGTGGTGACGTGGGGCCAGGCAGCACACACCATTCCTACAGCTAACACACGCGGGATTACGGAGAAGGGAGAGGTCGGAGCAGTTCCATGCTAAATAACAAGTGGTGAAGTCACATGGTGCTGGGAGCTCAGCTACCGCTTATAAGTAGCCCCAGCATCTGTTAAAGGCACAGAGCAGAGTGTGGTGACGTGGGGCCAGGCAGCACACACCATTCCTACAGCATTAGGAGCAGGAGCCTGGCTCTGCCCACCATGGTTCTGCGTTAACTTTAGCTGTGGAAGATGGAGTATTATTACTGTCCACGTCTCCTGAAGCTGCTGCAGTATCTGTGGGTAAGTGTACTCGAGTTGGGCTTGTCAAGTTGGGTGTTTGTAGCTGTTTTCAGAGATACTGAGGATGCTCACATGCAGCAGTGGCTTTACTTTGGAGATAAGTTCTGATGTAGCTAGATGGCAACATTGAACTTGGGGGTTGTTTTGGGTGAGAAAGGCTATTTTATCTTTAATACTCACTTAAAATGAGGAGACTGCAGACTACTTGAATGTGCCTCAGAAAACCCTCCTAGTAACTGGAATTTCTTCCTTGTTAATGTCTAACCATAGCAGTTGTAGTTTTATATTAGTGTGTGTTAGAAATGCTCTTTCTGATGTAGGGACAGGACAAGGGGAATGGCTTTAACCTGCCGGAGACGAGATTGAGATGAGCTCTGAGGCAGAAGCTCTTCCCTGGGAGGGTGCTGAGGCGCTGGCACAGGGTGCCCAGAGAAGCTGTGGCTGCCCCATCCCTGGCAGTGTTCAAGGCCAGGTTGGACACAGGGGCTTGGAGCAGCCTGCTCTAGTGGAAGGTGTCCCTGCCCGGGGCAGGGGTTGGAACTGGATGAGCTTTAAGGTGCCTTCAGCCCAAACCAGTCTGGGATTCCATGTGTTTGGAAGCTGGGCTCTGGCGAGTGCTGTTCCCAGGGGTGCTCCTTCCCCTGCTGCCTCTTTGAGTCGAGCAGCAGCACCCCTGGCTCAGCAGGGTGTGATTTCCCAACTCCATGTACTTAATTTGGCTGTTCTGGGTCTCTCCTCTCTTGGGAAGCGCTTCCTCCTCAACCAGCCCTCAGTGAAAAGCTCTGTCTGGCAGGCTGCTTGGGCAGGCTGCTGCCTGGGAAGGGTTACTGTTGCACAGGGATTGCTATTTGATATTTTCACATTCATAAAAGATGAATGTGATTGTAAAGCTTTATAAATCGATGCTGTATTACTTTGAACCTTAATTCCTTAATGTTTTAATTTCTTCTGTACAAATCCAACATCAGTTTTCATTTGCTTGTTGTGCTGTTTGCATTAATGTCACAATGTTTTCAGCTGTAAATTCATGTAACCAGCACTGACACACTAAAC